GTACTCAGTGGAGTACAGGTGACAACTTGTCACTTGTTTAATAACACTGAGTACAGGTGACAACTTGTAATGTTACTTGTTTAATAACACTGAGTACAGGTGACAACTTGTAATGTTACTTTTTTAATTACACTGAGTTCAGGTGATAACTTCTAATGTCACTTGTTTAATAACACTGAGTACAGGTGACAACTTGTATTGTCATTTGTTTAATTACACTGAGTACAGGTGATAGCTTGTAATGTCCCTTGTTTAATAACACTGAGTACAGGTGATAGCTTGTAATGTCCCTTGTTTAATAACACTGAGTACAGGTGATAGCTTGTAATGTCACTTGTTTAATTACACTGAGTACAGGTGATAGCTTGTAATGTCCATTGTTTAATAATTACTTGTTTAATAACACTTAACACTGAGTACAGGTGATAACTTCTAATGTTACTTGTTTAATAACACTGAGTTCAGGTGATAACTTGTAATGTTACTTGTTTAATAACACTGAGTACAGGTGATAACTTGTAATGTTACTTGTTTAATAACACTGAGTACAGGTGACAACTTGTAATGTTACTTGTTTAATAACACTGAGTACAGGTGACAACTTGTAATGTTACTTGTTTAATAACACTGAGTACAAGTGACAACTTGTAATGTTACTTGTTTAATAACACTGAGTACAGGTGACAACTTGTAATGAGGTGACAACTTGTAATGTTACTTGTTTAAGTACTCAGTGTTATTAAACAAGTGACAATACAAGTTATCACCTGAACTCAGTGTAATTAAACAAGTAACAATACAAGTTATCACCTGCACTCAGTGTTATTAAACAAGTGACAATACAAGTTGTCACCTGTACTCAGTATTATTAAACAAGTGACAATACAAGTTATCACCTGAACTCAGTGTAATTAAACAAGTAACAATACAAGTTATCACCTGTACTCATTGTTATTAAACAAGTGACAATACAAGTTATCACCTGTACTCAGTGTTATTAAACAAGTGACAATACAAGTTATCACCTGTAGTCAGTGTTATTAAACAAGTTACATTACAAGTTATCACCAGTACTCAGTGTTATTAAACAAGTGACAATACAAGTTATCCCCTGTAGTCAGTGTTATTAAACAAGTTACATTACAAGCTATCACCTGTAGTCAGTGTTATTAAACAAGGGACATTACAAGCTATGACCTGTACTCAGTGTTATTAAACAAGTTACATTACAAGTTATCACTAGTACTCAGTGTTATTAAACAAGTGACAATACAAGTTATCACCTGTAGTCAGTGTTATTAAACAAGTTACATTACAAGCTATCACCTGTAGTCAGTGTTATTAAACAAGGGACATTACAAGCTATGACCTGTAAGGTGATAACTTGTAATGTCACTTGTTTAATAACACTGAGTTCAGGTGATAGCTTGTAATGTCCCTTGTTTAATTACACTGAGTACTGGTGATAACTTGTAATGTAACTTGTTTAATTACACTGAGTACAGGTGATAACTTGTAATGTCACTTGTTTAATTACTCTGAGTACAGGTGATAACTTGTAATGTCACTTGTTTAATAACACTGAGACACTGAGTACACTGAGTACTGGTGATAACTTGTAATGTAACTTGTTTAATTAGGTGATAGCTTGTAATGTCCCTTGTTTAATAACACTGAGTACAGGTGATAACTTGTAATGTCACTTGTTTAATTACACTTGTTTAATAACACTGACTACAGGTGATAACTTGTAATGTCACTTGTTTAATAACACTGAGTACGACATTAGAAGTTATGACCTGTACTCAGTGTTATTAATCAGGTGGTGTTAATCTCCTAACTAATTTTTTGCCTTAGTGGAAGAACCTTCAATATAGAAATACAGAAAGTTTATCTTTATACACACACACACACACACACATATATGTATTTATGTATACTCACACACACACACACACACACATATATTTATGGATACACACAGACATATATATATATTTATGTATACACACACACACAAAACTATATACATGCACACAGACATACAGTAGTGTTGGAAATAAGTATGGAAACAAAGGTCAAAGTGGAAACATAATGCACACTTTATTTTGAAAATATTGTTAATGATAAGCACAGTGCATTATGACTGAAAGTATGAAAATAAGAAATCATTGTTCAGCTTGACATAATGCTTTAATACAGTTTATCAAGAAATGACGGTGGAACATTGTTCCAAGTATCCCATAATACTTTCCTTTGTAACCCCATGTGGCTTCGATGGTCATATTAGGACCTTGTGAAGGTCATGAAGTCCTTGTGAGTATTCTTTCAACCTCTTTTATTTCAAATAGGTTTTCACTACATTGGCTGTGTGCTTGGGATTATTGTCATGTTGAGAGATGAAATCCTGCTTAATGAGATGTTTTCCTGTTGGAGTGGTATGATGGAGCAGAACTGGCACCCTTGACTGAGACACAGTTTCTTAGTTTATTGATCCACCATTGGCTGAGATACAGTTCCTCTGTTGTATTGATCCACCCTCACCCTTTACTATTGGTGTTGAACCCTGACTGCCCTCATCCTTTACTATTGGTGTTGAACCCTGACTGCCCTCATCCTTTACTATTGGTGTTGAACCCTGACTGCCCTCATCCTTTACTATTGGTGTTGAACCCT